CAAGGTGTCCAAGCTTCACTAGACTTCTAGCCACAGTGGATGAGAAGAGGTATTTCAAGTTATCGCAGCCATGAATTATCAATTTTGTCAGGTTCTCAACACAGTAAGATGCTATCCAAATCATGTCAACATTAATTCGTGACAATTGCAGCTCCTCTAGGTTTGGAAACAGAAACTGCACAACATACAATTCCCTTTCTGAGAAAGCTGATTATTTTTTGATATATAATAAAAAATGAAAATTTGAAAAATTTTAATTTTTATGGATGGTTTGAATACAAGTACTGTTTGAGCAAAAATAAAAAAGATGCTTCTTATTTAATTCTTTAACTAAGAAAAGCTTCTCTTTTAATTTCTTGATATATAAGAGAAAAAAAAAGGGAAAATGAAAAAAAATATTTATAAGTTCTACAAATTGAAGATTTTAGGAATGATTTAAGTAGTATGACTGTTAGTATAAAATTGCTAGCCAACTTAAAAAAAGAATATAATTTGAATTATGGAGTAAGTTGACCAATACAAAAGAATATATATGGTTAATATTTGTCAAGAAATTATTAAAACACTTATTTAAATTAAGAATCTATTTTTTAATTTTTATTTTGACATAAAGACCCAATAGCACTTGTTTGTAATTGAATTTACAATAATGCATGTTTCTCCAAGTTAAGAGTACTGGTTTCTACTTTCTACTTTCCATTACCACTTCAAAGTAGCAAGTGTTGGAGAGGTGGCGTGACTCTGTAAGTGGAACAATAGATGGAGATCCACATGGTAGTGGGACATGGATCTAGACCACCTCTCCTACATTTTTCTCTATGGCCAAACGAAGATTACAGTACATTTTCCTAGTTTTTCAAGCTTAGTGTCAAGGAATTGTAACTGTTAGTTTTTTGTTTTGATTTTTAAAATTAATAATTAAAAATTATTAAATTTAAAAATTAACATTAAAAATTAAAATTGACAACATATTAGATATAAATTTTTAAAATTAATACGTAAATTTTTAAATTAATTAATTTATAAATCTTCTTAATTTTATTTTAAGGATTTTAATTATTTGAAAACTAAATCAAACATTCAAAATTACATTTATTCTAAACAGAGCCTTAGCAATCATAAATAAATAAAATAGGACAATTAAATATGACTAGAAGAAGTATTATATGCATTTTGTTTCTGTTTTGAAACATATTTAACAGACTTGTCAAATTTATAAACACTATACTTAGCTTTTACTATGATATTGTTTTCCCGTGCTGTATTTATAATATTACATAATATTATAAGTTTATAATCATGATATACTATAATATAATTACTATGGTACATATTACATCATTTATTAATACGTTATAATTATAAGTTTTTGTAGGCTTAAAATCTTACATGACATATATTAAGTGGTATTGAAAACTTAAAATCGTGATGTAACGTAATAAATATATGTATATTATCACATACCATCAATGATGTAATCAATGATATAATTTAATAATAGAGTTACTTATATTTTTTATTCATAAATCTAAAAGAGATTGCTATTGAACCTAGCCCAAACTTGAAACCCAGTTGATCTCCGAAAAAAAAAAAGAAGAACGGTAAGATTAATTTTTTATATTTTCTAATTACTCTTCCGCAAAGAAACAAAAAAATAAAATAAAATAAAGGAAATGAATTAAGTACCTTATCGTTGAAAAGTGAGATGCCGCTGCAATTACCACTGTTGAAGAAGCTAATCAGTTTTGGTAGCCATTCTAATGTTAAGGACCGCAGACTGCCACCAAGCTTACATCCTTCACTTTCTTCAACGATATCATTTCCGTTGCCTTGCTCCTCCACGTCATCAATAATCTCTTCAATGTTGTTGCAATGTACTACTGTTATTTCTTGAAGTTGAAGCTGTCTGGCCATGGAGAAGGAGAACAGATTCTTCAATTGATAACAATGAGCAACGGTTATCTTTCTTAATTCTTTAAAAGGTGCTGCTCCAGTCAGACCATGACATATCTTCTCCATTTTTTGCAAATTGGAAAGGATCAATACCTCCAACATGGGAAATACCTGGGAAGGAAGCAACCTCCCCGCTGGGTTAAAGATGTGTCGAATGTCTGGAGCATTTTGGACATGAAGACACTTCAGATGTTGAAAACCTTCATCATCTAACTCCTCAAGTAAACTCTCGACACCATTTAATCCCTCTAGATACAGTTCTTCTGTCTTCTTCAACAACTTCTTAACTGAGTTATTAGATTTAATGCCTGCACCCTGCAGCTTTAGCTTCATTATGTTTGAGTTTTCAAAAGAGCTGTTCCAAGAGTTACTGTCCCAACAGTAAACCCACCCGGGCATCCAAGTCATCCTGCTTACTATTCCTATGAAAATCTTGAACCTTTCCAGATTTTCAGGAAACAAAGTTTCTCGGAAATTAGGAATACGTACCTCTAAAGCACTGAGCGTACGCAACTCTGTTAACTCAGCAAGCCTAGCATTTCCTCCCTCCACATCACCCCATTGGTCAAAGCTGTTTCCCATTTTTAACTCTTCCAATTTAGACAATCTTGCTAAGACTTGTCGTGGAATTACTTTCAGTTTGGTGCAGTCACTCACATCTAACAACTTTAGCTTGGTTAGCTTCTCCATTTCTCTTGGCAACTCTTCAATGGCACAGCCTGCAAGGCTAAGGACCTCTAAATTCTCCAGATTTCCCATAATGGCGCCTAGTGCTTCGACTCTAAACACAGATTGGTCCAAAAGTAATGTTTGAAGGTTGGTTGGGAACAAGGGAATTTCTGAAGACATTGACTGAAAATCAATTTTAGTCAAACATAAGACTTTGAGCCCTTCTGTTTCAGTGAACAAATCTGTTCGAACTTCTAGAGAACAACCCTTGTTGGACAAATGAAAGAAAGTGAGCCGCGGACATTTCAACCCATTTCTCGTAAGCTCAGGATAAGTATTTGACAAATAAATCCACTTTAACCTTTCCATTGTCTCCTTTTCTGGCCAGTTTTT